CATCATGTGCTCACCATGCTCCGCACGATACAGATCGTTGAGATGAAAGAAACAACGGGACTCAGTGTTAATGGTCGGTGCGAGTGCAGGTCGCTCCAGGCTGACTTGTGCGTCGGACATACCCGCAGCGAGCTGGGCCACCTGAGCTGCCACGTCGGATCGCCCAGTTACGAAGCTGGTGCGGCGACAGCTGCGCCTTGCGGCTCAGCTGCTGCTGCTGACCACCCCTAGAGCCACCTCCACCACCTGCTGCACCACTAGACGCCACTGAATGAGTGGCCGAACCTCCAGCCCCTCCACCGCCAGCTCCACTCCGAGTGCCACCCCCACCTCCTCCACCACCCCCACTGCTCCCACCACCCCCTCCTCCTCCTCAGCCGCCCCCACCTCCTCCTCCTCCACCACCACCACCTCCACCGCCACCAGCGCTGCCCCCGCCACCCCCACCACCCTTGCCACCCTTGCCCTTGCCGCTGCAGCGCCTCCTACTAGGAGCAGACGTAGCAGCGACCTCCTCAGCACCAAGGAAGTCTACAGCAGCGGCAGAGGCAATAGACGGCGCGAGCAGGGAGGGGAAGCACCCCTCAAACACTGAGGGCAGGGGAGTGCCACGAGAGGCAGCGACAGCTAGGGCAGCTGACTCAGCCTCTAAGAGACGGGACTCAAACGAGGCGAGGGTGATCGTCGCGAGGTCGAGAGCGAGGAAGTGGTCGCGTACAGCATGAAGGGAGTTAGGGAGGCGGGTCGTGAGAAAGTAATTGGGTGAGGTAAATGGGTGGCTTGTTCTCAGCCCTAAAGGCAGGCTCGAAGGCGGCAGCATACTGGGTCTCAAGGGAGCGCAGATGAGTCATGAGATCGACGACAGTAGTGAAGTTGGACAACTCAGGAAAGAGGAACGGCACCGGCAGGCAACCTACAGTGGCAGACGACGGGGAGGAGTAGCGCTGGACTACATCGTTGTAAAGCGCCTTGGTAGTTATAAGTTGGCGAAAGTGGGCGCGCTGGTCTAGTGGAAGGTGAGTACTGACAGCAAGAGTGGCGCTAGGGGCAGCAAGGGGGCACGAGGGGTCCACTTGGACCGGTCTGTACGAGGAGCCGTGTCAGCAGGGGCAGCAAGGGACCCCGAGGTATTCTCAAAGAGAGAGACATCCTCCCTAGTAACACTGTGCAGGTACCAGCAGTTCATCTAGCAAGGACTCAAAGTCTACCGGGTGGCCTTCTCCGTCAAAGGTGAGCACCCTACGGGTCACCATAGCACTAGAACGGTAGTGGCAGCAGCAGCAACAGTAGTGGCAGCAGCAGCAACAGTAGTAGCAGCAGCAGCAGGAAGGCGCAGGCAGCAGCAGGCGTGCTAGCCAGCAGGCAACAGCAGCAGCAGGCGCGCTAGCCAGCAGGCACGCTAGCCAGCGGTGCAAGCAGCAGCAGCAGGCACGCAGGTAGGGCAGTGCAGGGCGCGAGCTGGCTGTGCAGCAGGGGCAGGGCAGGGGCATGAGCGGGCGGTGCAGGTCAATGCATGGGTAGCTCGCGGGTCGCCGGCGGAGCGCAGGGCAGGCGCTCGCGGGCGGCGCAGGGGTGGAAAAGGGCAGTGCGCGGGTAGCTCACAGGTCGCCGGCGGAGCACAGGGCAGGCGCTCGCGCGCGGCGCAGAGCTGACACGTGGGGCAGGGCGGGTGCGTGCAAAGCTGTACGGGCTGCGCGCGGGCCTGGCGTGGGCTGTACGGGCTGCGTGCGAGCCTGACGCGGGCTGTACTGGTTGCGCGTGGGCCTGGCGTGGGCTGTACGGGCTGCGTGCGAGCCTGGCGCGGGCTGTACGGGCTGTGTGAGGGCCTGGCACGGGCTGTACGGGCTGTGCGCGGGCTGTGCACGGGCGGCGCGGAGGTTGTACGGGCTGCTCGCGGGCGGCGCGTGGGCTATACGGGCTGCGCGCGGCAGGGCAGGGCAAGGCAGCGTGAAAGCGCTTGGCAGGGTTGAAACGAACGGCCGGGCAAGGGAAAGTCTTCTGCCGGGCAAAGGGAAACGAATGTGGTGGGCCCTACTAGGTCATAACCCGGACCTACTCTTAAACCATGTGAAGATAAAGAATGATGCATTAGGTCAACGGGGAGGGTGTACAAGTAGAATGTCAAGAGAATTTATGTACCCCCTAAGGCTAAACCCACTACAGCCTAGAGAAAGATAAACCCATTTGTTTTGACAGCGGGCGCGGCGGCGGGGCGGGTGATCGGGCGAGGCGGGGCGGGGGGGTGGTGGGGGTGTGGGGGGCGCGGGATCGGTGAGGCAGTTGGGGGGGGGGGGGGGGGGGGGCGGGCGCGGCGGGGCGGTTGGTGGGGGGCGCGGGCGCGGCGGGGCGGATGGTGGGGGGCGCGGGCGTGGTGGAGCGGGTTGGGGGGGGGGCTCAGCACTCGGTGAAGCGGCTACGGGGGGCGCGGGCGCGGCGAAGCGGCTACGGGGGGCGCGGGCGCGGCGAAGCGGCGAGACTAGTGAGAGACGCGGTTGAATATGCATGATGTCATTGTGCACCATTTTACGTGTTTTTATCCATTGTTCAACCTTCATCCATTGTTAAACCTTTTTCCATTGTTAAAGCTTGCTTAGTCCATCTTGCAAAGGCAGCGTGCTTCATTCCAAGTGGGTGAAACTAGCAAATTGGAAATGAAGAACGTGGGTGGAGCTACTGGAATCACGTTCATCTTTTGTAGGCAATTGAAACGTGTACCTTTGCTTTGCTGGCCACGCCCTCGATTTCACAATACGAAAATTGAAAAAGTGTTACACTTTTAAAATTGATCATTTTTTATGTCCAGTAGGCGTGTCAACAATCACCGACGGGATATGGCATGGGAGTGTCTCTATGCACTGGCCTTCTGCTCCGATCGTGTCTGATATAGACAGGCAACGGGTATGTCTTGTAGAGCCAAAAAAGTTGGTTGGGTTCTTCCAAGAGTGTCGATTAGTGTATTCACATCAGTGCGCATGCGTGTAGTGAGTGGATGATGTTGAGTTCACATCAGTCAGCATGTTTCCAAAACATGCTGACTGATGTCGATTGGTGTGTTCACATCAGTCAGCATGTTTTGGAAGTGTGACGCGTTCTCGTATGGTGTTGAATTTTGGTTATGTCCGAGCTGGCGTTGAAAGAATAAGGACTGTTGTAGGTGCACATTCACCGATTTTACAAGCCGTTTTTTTTTTTTTTTTTTGCTTTAGATGGAATGGGGTATCAGCAAATGTGGGAGTTTTGTCGCAACTTCGGCATTCCAGCACTGGGTAAGGGCACATTCAACGAGTAACTTGGGTGATGATAATGGGCTATGAAATGCTATACTGCGAGAGGCTGATAAGTCAATGGCAGCGGTACGAGAGGAGATGATGAAGCGAGAAGTCCTTGGTCAATGCTCGGTGGTCACATGTTTGAGAGGGAGAGTGGTGTACAGTATCGTTCTTGGATTGACCGTCTGGTGGACGTGCCAACACCGAACGAGGGGCATTGCAGGACGTAGAAGATCTTTGACATTATGATGTGTACTCATTATGCTTGCGCAAGCGAGAGCTAACAAAAACAATTATTTCATCGGCGGCATACTACTTGGGCCAACATCGACACGAAAATCGGTACGCATACTCCTCTTTCAGCTTTCATGCATGCTTACTGGCAGTCAACACCATAATAAGGATCCCTTGTTGTCTTTCCATTTATGCATTCACAGAGGCGCTTGGTTGAGGCGAAGTTGATTCCAAAGTGCAGAACCATAATGCTTTCTGCGAGCCAAAAGACACTACCTCAGTGGGCTGGTCGCCGAAAGCGGAAACATGGTGAAGACCAAAGATCGAAAAAGAGCAAACTATGGCACGACTCTTCTCATCCCATTTCTATCATGTCAAGATGTGGTGTGGTGCGAAAAAAAAAAGCGGGGAGTCCTAAAACCCCGGCCGATATGGCGAGGCAGCTTGGGAACCCACCCAGCCACTGGGCAGGTGACCACTCCGGCTGCTCGAGGGTAGGAGGTACCCGACCTCGCTACGTCAGAGAGAGGAGTGGTAAGAAGCATGCCCTATATGAGTTTGGGTCGTTGACATAAGAGGCGGTCCGTGCATGATTTTCCAAAGCCTAAGCCTAGACAAGGTGAAGTCGTTTGTGCATGACGAATCAAGTTTGCTCAACGAATCCTTTCATTCCTTGATCATGAAGTACGTGTCACAATAGATTTATATCTATTTAGTATAATCTGCCTGTAGTGTAGCTGTTGTGTAATTCCCTTGTATGGTGGTGCACCTCTTTCATCTTTGTTAGGTTGCTATATGTACTCGTGTGCTATAGTGAACCCCCAACCATTTCACAATCCTCCTTCATAAACTACTCGACACCCGTTTGGCCTAGGCTACTAAGCCTAGGCCCTAAGTTAAACCAAGTTACTCGTTAAGTTAGTCTCGTAACATGGTATAGAGCTAGGTCCGATTTAGGACCGTTCGTTTTACATGGGCCCACCACTAGCCCTCGTCGTGGCGCATCCCGTCACGCAGTCCGTAGGACGCATCGTGAGCGCCACGACGATAAGCTCGTCGCGCTGCCCTGCTGCAGCTTGTCGCCCCGCGCTACCCGCTGCTGCAGCCCGTCCCGTCGCGCTGCCGCCCGTCACCCGCGTCATCAACCGTCGCCCGTCCCGTTGCGCTGCCGCCCGTCACGTCACGTCCCGTCACTTGCCTCGTCGATTGACACCCGCCCTTGTCTCGCTGCAGCCCGTCGCCCGTCCCGTCGCACTGCCGCCCGTCGCCAGATCCCCGCCACCCGTACGCACTCCGCTGCCCGTCGCCAGGTCCCCGCCCGCCCTCCCGTCGACTTCACAACTGCTGTGAAGGGAGTGGCGGGAGTGGCGAGAGTGGTGGGAGTGGCGGGAGAAGCTGCTGCTACGCCCTTGCACGCGCCAGATCGTCCGCGACCCGCACCCCGCACTCCGCCCGTCGCCCGTACTCCACCCGCACCCCGCACCCCGCCCGGCGCCCATGCGCCACCCGCACCACGCACCCCGCCCGTCGCCCGTACGCCATCCGCACCACGCACGACGTCCGTGCTCCCGTCCGCGAGACCCGTCCGCACCCCGTACCTGCACCCAGACCGCCGTTCTGCCCCAGATCCCGCCCCCCCCCACCGACAACTGCCGCCTCACCCCCATCTCCGGCTCTGTTACCAGCGGGAAGGGGAGGAGGTGTGGCTCGAAGGGGACGGCTGGGGGAGGGGGAGTGGCGGGGTTGGCGGCTCATGTAAGGGGGAGGTTGAGGGGGTGGGTGATCCATCTGCAGCTACTGCCGCCACACCTCCCCCTCTCTCTCTCCGCCGCTGCTGGATCAGGGGGTGTGGGTGGGTGAGTCCAGCTGCAGCACCAGCCGCCCCCTCCTCCGCTTTCTCACTCCTGCATCTGCTGCTGTTGGGGGGGAGGTTGAGGGGGTGGGTGATTCAGCTGCAGCACCTACCGCCACTACACCTCCACCTCTCTTTCTCCGTCAATGCTGCTATGGGGGGAAAGGTTCAGGGGGTGTGGGTGGTGAGAGTTCATATGCAGCATCAGCCGCCTCCTCCTCTCATCCCCTGCCCCGTACCTCCCTATTGCCCGTGCTTGCCCCGTGCCCGTGCCCATGCTGTCTGCCCCGTGTTCCCCGTGCTTGCCCCGAGCCCATGCCCGTGCTGTCCGCTCGTGTTCCACGTGCCCGTGCTGTCCGTACCCGGTTGTGTCCCACCCGTTTCACCCGTGCGTCCCGTGCTTCCCGTGCTGCCCCCGTGCTCCTGTGCTGCCCCCGTGCTCCCGTGCTGCCCCCGTGTTCCCGTGCTGCTCCCGTGCTGTCCCCGTGTTCCCGTGCTGCCCCCGTGTTCCCATGCTGCCCCCGTGCTGCCCCGTTCTGCCTGTGTCGTGCCCGTTTCCGTGCCCGTGTTGCCCCGTTCAACCCGTGTCCTGCCCCGCTCTGCCCGTGTTGCCCCGTTGTCCCCGTGTTGCCCCGTTCAGCCCGTGTCTTCCCCCCGTTCAGCCCGTGTCCTGCCCCATTCTGCCCGTGTTGCCTCCTTCAGCCCGTGTTGCCCCGTTCTGTCCGTGTTGCCCCGTTCAGCCCGTGTCCTGCCCCGTTCAGCCCGTGTTATGCCCTGTTCTGCCCGTGTTGCCCCGTTCAGCCCGTGTCTGCCCCGTTCAGCCCGTGTTTTGCCCTGTTCTGCCCGTGTTGCCCGGTTCAGCCCGTGTCCTGCCCCGTTATGCCCGTGTTGCCCCGTTCAGCCCGTGTCCTGCCCCGTTCTGCCCGTGTTGCCCTGTTCTGCCCGTGCTGCCCCGCTCTGCCCGTGTTGCCCCGTTCAGCCCGTGTCTTGCCCCGTTCTGCCCGTGCTGCCCTGTTCTGCCCGTTTGTGCCCTACCCGTGCTGTCCGTACCCGTTGGTGCCCCACCCGTGCTGTCAGTTCTCGCTCGTGCCCCACCCGGTCTGTGCTGCCTGGTCTCGTGCTGCCCGTCACCCCCATGCGGCCCGTCCCATACAGCACCTAGTTGCTACCCGAACCCGCTACCCGTACCCGTGCTCCTCGCACACCGTGCACCAGCTGCGGGGCGTTCAACGCAGCCGGGCACCTGTTCCACCGCGGTGGTTCAGATGGTGCTTGGTGGTTGCTGCTTGTCAGCTTCAGAGGGGGCCCCTTGCTGGTGTTCCCACGCCCTATAATGGGGTTTTACAGGTGTACCCCTTCAAGGGGGGCTCTGCACATGGTTATGCACTTCAGGCAGATAGGGGGTGTGTCACAATAGATTTATATCTATTTAGTATAATCTGCCTGTAGTGTAGCTGTTGTGTAATTCCCTTGTATGGTGGTGCACCTCTTTCACCTTTGTTAGGTTGCTATATGTACTCGTGTGCTATAGTGAACCCCCAACTATTTCTCAATCCTCCTTGGCACAAACTACTCGACACGCGTCTGGCCTAGGCTACTAAGCCTAGGCCCTTAGTTAAACCAAGTTACTCGTCAAGTTAGTCTCGTAACAGTACGCTCCAAAGCGGATTAGGTCAAGGTAAGGGTACAAAACAAGAGTCGAGATAAAATGATGTACCCCTAAGGCACAACTCACTATAGGCTAAACTAACATATGCAATATAACTTGACACACCCTCATAGCCTGAGTGAGATGCATCAAACCGACCGCAACAAGCATGTGGTCACACGACCAGTTCACATGCAGAGTTCATAATAGCAATTGCAGTACACTGATGACAACATAGCAAGAGCAAACATGCAGGTATAATTATATATATATTAGTGTACAACAAGTGCAAGGCAAGATCAAGAGACAAGCAAGTGAGGCAAAGTGGGCACAAGCCCAAGAGCAGTGCAGAAACGCTGATGACCACTAGGCCCAAGGGCCTTGGTGAAGACATCAGCAGTGTTGGCCCGTATGGCCACGTAGGAAAGACGAAGCTGACCACGCTGCTGCAGCTCTCGCGTAAGGAAGTAACGAAGAGCAATGTGCTTCGTTCTGTGCTCCAGTCTGTGGTCCTGACACAAGGCAATCAAGGCCTTGTTGTCGACGTACAGAACTGGAGGAGAACGAGGCCGCTTACCCAAGTCGGTCAGCAGGTAGGTCAGCCAGCGGAGCTCTTGTGCAACCATAGTCCCAGCGTAGATCTCGGCCTCACAGCTCGAACTAAGTACTGAAGACGAGCGAGTGGACCTCCATGAGACAGAACCAGCGCCGAGGCTGAAGCTCTACCCCTGTATTGACCGTTGAGTCGGCTGGATGTCTGAGTGACCGGTGAGAACTACTGAACCCGGTCCTCCAAGCACGAGCCCCATTCCCGATGTACTGCACAAGTAACGCAATACCCTCTTTGCAGCTTCACAGTGCACATTTCGGTGTCTACAAGAGCCACGTAGCGAGCCAGGAGGCTGAGAGGGTACGCAAGGTCAGGTCGTGTGCACGTCATCAGGTACATGAGGCAGCCCACAAGCTCTGGGTACAGACCACTCGGCTCTACGGACTCGTCCGAAGGTGGAGCTGAGAGCGAGTGGCCGGTAGACAGAAGAGTGGGCTGTGGCGAGGACCACGTGAAGTCGAAGCGCTGAAGGACCTGCTGCACCATGTGTGACGTGAGGGTGATGGTGCGGCGTGCTCTTTCCTGGGTGGTCCGCAAGCTAAGATAGCTCCGCAACTCACCCATGTTAGTGCATGTGAGTCTCTCCCGCAGCTCCGCCTTCACCAAGGCCAAAGCTTCAGTGTCAGCAGTAGCAAAAATCAAGTCGTCAACATACACGAGAACGTAGAACGGCGGCAGAGAAGTGTCTGTGCGCAAAACCAGCGAAGGGTCAGCAGTCGAGGGAGCAAAGCCAAGAGCGGCAAGTGTAGTCATCAGTGTGTTGTGCCACTCGCGGGGTTCTTGTCGTAGGCTCTAGACTGGTCGCCGAAGACTCCACTGCGTACCCTCAGGAAACGACCCAGTGAAGCCACGTGGCAGGCGCAACCAGATAGCCTCGTGAAGGCTGCCCTGCAAGAAGCCTGTCGAGAAGTAAATGGAGTGCAGCTCGTAGTCACGCTGTGCTGCAACATGCAGTAGCACCCGAAGAGTGGTCATCTTCGGGGTGGGGGAGAACGTCTGAAAGAAGTCGACCCCCTCACGCTGATTGAAGCGTCGTGCAACGTAACGCGCCTTGAAGGCAGGCGGAGAACCCGGCGGCCTTTCACCCTGAAATTCCACGTGCCATCGACTATGTTTGCCCCGGGTGGGGGAACCTCGTCGACGTAGGTGCCTGTGGACTTCCAGGAAGCCATCTCTGCGTCCATGGCTATCTGTCATTGAGAGGAGTACGGACCCGTGATCGCCTCTGCGTAAGTGTGTGGGGTCGGGATTCGAGTGCATCCCGGTCTCCCTCAGGGCAAAGTAGCGTGGACGCGAGATGAGGTGCAGCGGCCGCGAGGTACTCCAACTCAAACTGCCTGTCCTCAAGGACGTCACAGCCAAGGGCAAACTCACCCCCGACGGACAGAGGACAGGAAGTGTCAAAAACAAGAATCGCAGCGTAGTCAAGGCGGCACAAAGTGGCAAAGTCAACAAGGCAGACGCGGCAGTAGACTCAAAGGAAGGGTCAGTCACAACTGTGGCAAGGAGACGAGTATCAGTCGGACTGGCAGCAGGGACAAGATCAGATCAAGGTCAGGAATGTGCAGAGGTGAGGACATGGGAGGCGACGGCAGGTCAACACGCTATGGAACAGAGGAAGGACGGAGTGTCATATCGTGAGTGTCTGGTATAGCCAAAGCACGAGGACGACGAACACGTTGAACAAGAGCAGGGACAGAAGCTCTAGTCTTAGGCTCTGGACGCTCAGGAGTGGAAGCACGAGACTCAGGCTTACGAGGCGCAGTCACGGACGCAGTCACCTCAGTGTGAGGAGCAGGAGCAGGCAGCGGGGAGCCAGGCAGTAGCAGTGGCTGTGACTGGTCAGTCGGTGGGAACAGTAACGGGAGAGTAGTACCAGCAACCGGGGTCTCAGTAGCAGGAGGTGGGAGACTCAGAAGATGACGAAGCGCAGACGGTCGCGGCTGAGTAGTCGCACCCCTAGAACCTCCAGCTCCAGTAGCAACAGCACCCCCAGAACCAGCACCACCAGCTCCACCACTGGGACTGCACCAACGGACAGCCCACTCGCGAAGCTGCAGCGACGAGAGCGACTCCTGCCGACTAGCACCACTAACTCCTGTACCTCGAGTACTACCTCTAGGAGTACCTCCAGTACTAGTACCTCCAGCACGGCCAACTCTAGGACCCACCAGTACTAGCACCTCCAGGGCCAGCACCTCCAGTACCTCCAGCAACACCTGCGCCTCCAGTACCTCCAGCAGCACCTGTGTCTCCAGTACCAGGAACACCAGCACCAGCACCTCCACGGCCAGCACCTCCAGAACCTGCAGCTCCAGCACGTCTAGTGCCACCACAAGGACTGCCCACAGCAGCACCCACAGCACCAGCACCCTCAGCAGCACCTGGAGTCCCAACACCTCCAGCTCTAGTATTACGAGCAAGGCTAGCTCCACCACCAGGGCTGCCCCACTGGACAGCCCACTCGCGAAGCCGCTCCGGCGAGAGAGTCTCCTGCCGACGTGCACCAGTACCACTAGTAGCAGAACCTCCAGCTCTAGCTGTGCCAGCACCTCTAGCTCCAGTAGTCCCAGCACCTCCCGCTCGAAGATGGCTAGCTCCACCACCAGAGCTGCCCCACTGGATAGCCCACTCGTGAAGCCGCTCCGGCGAGAGAGGCTCCTGTCGAGTCGTATTAGGACCACCAACACCAGTATCTCCAGTACCTCCTGTACCCAAAGGACACTCAGCACCCCCAGGACCAGCACCCCTAGGACCAGCACCCCCAGGACCAGCACCCCCAGTGGTACTACCTCCTGCAGCACCAGAGTCCACAGCGACAGGGTGCAGCGGTGGTGAAGACAGTCGAGGCGGAAACCCAGGAGGGACCGCCAAGCATGTCGAGCGGCGAGGGGTCACGGTGGCAGCAGGAGTCGGGTCACCCCCCTCAGCTGGGCCAGAGGTGTCAGAGGAGACCTTAACTGGCTCAACCAAGGGGGGCGGGTCAACCTGAGACACACCCGAGGGAGCAGGACCGTGCGGGGGGAGTGGGGCTACCAGGGTGGGGGGTCGGAGACCAATGGGAAAGGCGGGAGGGGCACAGGGGAACTGCAGTGGAGGTGGAGACGGTAGAAACAAACAGACTCGTCAAAGGTCACATCCTGGGAGGAGAGAACACGACGGGAACCCGGGTGGTAAAACTGCCAGCCCAGGGTGTCGGTATATATATATATATACATATATATATACATATATGTATTTTTTATTTTGGGTCGGAAGTACACTATATAAGTATACAACCACAGTCGTAGCGGTTTGCATGGAAGACCTAGCTACTAACGAGTATAGCAGCTAGTCCCCCAACATCCCCTTTATGGCGGTTTGTACCGTGCCCCCGGATCCTCCCAGATCACGCGGAAGCCCTCCTTCCATGACAGCTCTCTCTCTCCCGCGAAGACATGGTTAAGGACTCTCACTTCGTCAGAAGCCAGCTGTCCCCAATCCCTCCCACTCGTTGCTCTTGTCTTGCTTGGCTGCCTGTCTCTCCATTTGCTGTAGACTCTCAGTGCCGGATGAAACTCGCCAAAATTTTCCTGACCACCTTTTTATGTTGGAACTTCTCCTGTCTGAAAACCGCATCACATCTCGCCAACCACAGCTGCTGGAGCGTGATGGCAATCAGCGGCAGTTCCGGAAAACTCGACTTCGTGATGGAGCCCCGGAAGAGAAGGTCCCCCACACAAATCGCTTCTTCCCTGACCCCAAACATTTCCAACGCCGCATACAGCTTTTTAATAACACCGTCCACCTCCGGACACCTCATCAGGTAGTGATCAGTTGTCTCTTCTCCCCCACAGTGCGGGCATCATGCCAACTCACCCCAGGGCGTCGGTAGGGAAGCCAAGGAAGACGCGGCGAAGAGTGC